CCACGGTCGACTACGTGGGAGTCCAGCGACATAGCCATTACGCTAACTGCTGGTTCCCAGGAACTTTTGAATAAAAAAAATTTAAGGGTTTTATGCTGCTTTTCTAAGTTTATTCTCTTTGTACAAGAAAAACAATGAGATACAATATAATTGTCATTTACAGTCAGATTTCATGGGTTTATACTTAGTTAAAACTATCACCCATAGCAAATGCATAATTCATTAGAAGCCTGCTTATTTTCAAATAGGCTTTTGTAAAGATTTATCTAAAATTAACACTTATTTTCTTTTAAGGACATTTGATACATTAAGGAATCATCCCTCCTTTTATGTATTTAATCATCGTGGTCGAGTACTGTTCCGGCCTTCGGATACAACCAGTTATTCAAACCAAGATGCATTGTCTTCTAACACATCGTTGAAGTTACGAAAACTCGAATCACTGCGTCGTTAAGATTTTTACAAATAATGATAACACGACAGGACACAGAGCTGGAATATTGGAGTTTGGGGTACCAAAACACTCCCCCATCAGTATTTATATTGATCTTTCAGATCTAATTAAAAAAAACTACGGCCCTTGTTTGTACACTGTTAATCAAATCATTAACGCAGTGTAAGTTATGTATGAAATGAGTCTTTGGTCCATCATATAGGGAGTTTTTTCATTTAGAACAAATTCACGTTTTTTATAAAAGTCACTGTTTTGAGTACATTACCTTAAAAAATGTTGGTGGGTTTTTTTTTTGTGACTATTTATTTTCTTAGATTTATTTTGCACTACAATTTTAGGATCCTTTGGAAATACCGTGTGACTCCTGCATTTTGCAGCATAAATTATAGTCAAATGGTCTTCAGTTCTTGACAAATGGACTTCCCTAATGAGACCAAAATGGTGACCTTTCAGTTTTTCTTGCATCCCTTCAAAAGTGGCTCTGCTTCAGCAGATACTTGCCGATTTTTCCTTTATCCATGACTTCTCACCCCGCCCCACTCCTGTATACCTTCTAACATCAACTGTCTTGTTTCATCACTTCTCTGAGGTTCTGTGTGCAGTGAGCAATTTTGTGTCAGAAATTATTTGTCATAACACATATATTTAACAGGCTCAACTTGGTATAAGCTACTTGTGTTCTCTTTATCTGAAAAGTTTTCTCTTAATTGATTATGTAGTATAAGAATAGGTGAAGATAGACCAAAAAGACCATTTGTGATTTCATTATCCTGCCTAGGTAGAGGAAAAGTAATCATTGAGGAAAACCGATTACTTGTCACTAGCCAGTTTAACTTATTTAAAGTCTCTGTTAGTTTATTTCATACTAAACTAACAAATTAATGAAAATAAAGGAAGCTTCTCAATCTAAAGGCAGACTTTAAAGAAACTGGGATAAATATGCTCTAAATATTGGAACTGATGTGTTGAATTTTGTAGAAAATTAAGGTCATTTAAGAAATTGTTTCATAGATTTTGATTTATAGTAGGCTTAGAATTTTCCACCTTCACTGTATGTTGCTGAAGGTGAGGATGAGGATGCAGAATTGACTTTTTTAGAAACAGTAATTTTAGGGCAGTTTGGCTAGCTCTTCCAGCTAGCATGCTACAGGAAGCTCAACAGTTCTTTGTGGAGAACATTGCTTTTGTTAAATTGTACAGATATAAAAATATTGCTTTGGATCATAGGTGTAAAGGGAATAACTGTATGCAGGTTTGAAAAGGAAACGTGTCTATCCTTCTGTGGTTCGTAAGTGTGATGATTGGGTGTTCCCGCCATTGTATGAGCTGTGTTCCCCTCGAACCTTGTTACGGCGTCAGACCCGTCTGACGTGAAGAAAAGAAAAAGAAAAGGAAATGTGCCAGAAGCAGGAGTCATAAGATGCCCATATACTTGATGACATTTTTTTTCCTCTAGAAATGAACCTCAGCACTTCTGTTGTACGTGGTGACATGGCCCCAAAGCATAAGATTTTTTTATCATTGGGTTCTTACTGTTACTTAGTTATATTTTGTTTTCCCGACCCAGTCTGTCTGGAACCTTGACTCTGCTCTCTAGTGAGAACACAGTTAGGCATCTGCTGATGACCTAAAGTAATTCAGAAGTGAGTGCAAATGTGAAGTCGGGGGTTAAAGTTATGATAATGAAATCAAAATAGCATTCAGGAAACAAGCTTCTCACTTGTCTACCATTTCCTCAGGTATGGCTTGATCTGGGAGAGCCTCTTGTGTTCCTCTCTTTGGGACTGTCTTCCTTTCCTAATATGTTTTTGTGAAAACTTTATTGAGGTACGGCTCAGATACCTCATAATCCATACCTTTAAAGGGTACACTTGTGTAATTCGTAGTATATTCACAAAGGTGTGCAACCATGACCACAATCAATTTCAGAACATTTCATTACTCCAAAAGAATCCCTGTACCCTGGAGTAGTCTACTTTCATTGTCTCCCAGTGGTCCTCCCAGCTAATCTAATTTTCGGTGTGTATAGATTGGCCTCTTCTGTTAGATAGTATGCATTGATTCATACAATATCTGGTCTTTTAAGATGGGCTTTCCAAATATGATTTCCCACATGGAGTGAGAAATTCTTTTCATCTTTATTGCTATAAAAGGCAGGTGGTTAGTCAAATCAATCAATTTAAGGAGAGAGGGCCATATACCTAATAGGATTCTCAGTTCATCTGGTGCTGAGAAGTTCTCCCTCATAGCAAAGCATTTATGATGTACTACTATTTATATTCTATTGGCTAGTGTCTAGGATGAACATTGAAATCTTTGCCTGCCTAGTCAGGAGAGTTCTGCTAAAAATGATGCCAAGTAACTTGGCAAATAATTGACATAGCAATTTTCAGGTGTGTCTACCTTTGATCACAGTTTGTATACCTCGGGCCAGGTGAGCTCTCCAAATTTCTTTTTTAAATTTACTCTAATGAGTTTCTGTTTGTTTGGTTGTTTTTTTTTTCCAAGTATGTACCATAGGACTGAAGGTGATTCGGGTGCACTGTAACACTGCTAAATGCATTAAGTACAGACTTTTATTTACAGTACTATGAGACTGTTAATTACTGCCTGGAGTAGTTCAAAATTACAGTGATGTGAGCCACTCATGCCTGCAGTTGACTATGGTCTTAGTCAAACTTATATCAATCAAGGCTCTCTGGAATACAGGAAGACTTCTTAATAATCAGGGAATCAGCCAAATACTATGGGCTAATGGTCCAGCTGCAGAAATGCAGATCAGTAAATCGGAGACAACTATGCTCTGTAACTTCACAATGATTGTTTCCTAAGCATTGTGGCTTATTGTTGAGTGACATGACAGCATCTTCCTGGGTGTATGTGGCCTGTTTCCAGGATGTATCGAGTCGTATTTGTTGTGAGTGTCGATGCCTGTAACACCGACCTAAACACATATTTTTTTGGATATGTTTCCTCTTTAAATGACCTTGCCCTGTCCAATAAACAAATGATTGTCTCACCCTGTTTTTGGTAGTATTTTTGTTTTGACTTACTTTTAGTCACGTTTCTTCTGTTTCTCTGTCTCCAGAGAGATGTAAAACTGATTTTATGATTGTAATTTTACTAGCATAGTGCTGTTTTACTGAGTTCAAAGGAGTCCATATTTAATTGTATACATGAAATCTTATTGCAGTTTTACAATTTTATGTTTTTATAGTCGAAATAGAATGATTTCATGTTTAATATATGTATCATCAAATGCCCTTTGGAGTGTAAAAATTGATCTTTCAGCAATAGTGTTACTCTAGCACAAATTTACAATTGTTATAATTGACATTTACAAAATGTTAATTGAAGCCAGCCCCCTAGAACAGTAGTTAGACTGTGTGCATTGGGAGTTGGATCCTTCTTTGCCAACCATGGTTCAAATCCTGGCCTCAGGAGCTAGCCTGTGACATGGTGGTTAAAGCAGCTGGATTCCAAGACCAGCAGGTGGTATAATGGTTATGTTGCTGGACTCCCACATAGTCGACCATAGTTCAAGTCCTAGACCTGGCGACTTAAAACTCAACGTTGGGTGCATGTGCATGTGTGCCCAAGATCCCGAGAGGACAATAGAGGAGAAGGGATTGCAGCATGGGCCATCTCCCCTGGGGGGTGATTTCTAGCTTTCTGTCCCTGTCTCTCCAGCGAGGACACACATCCTATAGCAAAAATTTCTCTCTCTCTTTTTTTCTTTTCTTTCTTTTTTTTTTTTTTTTTTTTTTTTGAGAGGCTATAGGGAGTGTGCGCTTGCCAGAAAGACAGAGAGACAGAAAGTGAGAAATCACCCCCGGGGTGGGGGGGAATGGCCACACCGCAATCCCTTCTCCTCCATTCTCTTCTTGGGATCTTGGGCATGCACGCACACGCGCCCGGCGTGAGTTTAAGCCACCAGGTCCAGGACTTGAACTGTGGTCAACTACATGGGAGTCCAGTGACATAGCCATTGCGCTAACTGCTGGTCCCTAGCAAAAATCTTTCGGTAAAAAAGCTGCTGGCTTCTATATGACTGACTCTGTGGTTCAAGTCTCAGATCAGGCAGTTTGAAAAACATGCTGGGTCATGTATGGATGTGCCCAAAATCCCAATAAGAGAATGGAGTAGAAAGGATTGTAGTGTGACCATCCACCATGGGGAATTTTCTCACTTATTTACTCTCTCTCTTTTTTCCAGTGAGTGCATACATTCTGACAAATTAAAAAATACAAAAGTTCTATCCTTGGCAACTTGCAAAACACTCAAGGCGCATATGCATACATGCCCAGAATCCTGATGGGAAAGAGAAATGGAGGAAAAAGGATTGCAGCATGACCATGCCTGCCCCATTGGGGAGTTCTCCCCACTCCCACTGCACATGTGCCCTCTAACCATAAAAAAAAGAAAGAAAATGTTACATTATACTTAGTAATTATGATTAAAGTATGGGGCAAGTCTAAAGTGTAATGAAAATCCAAGGGAAGGTTCTACTTTGCAGAACTTAGCATTTAAAGCATCAGTATTTGGGGGCCAGCAGGTGATACGGAGGTTAAGACACTGGATCCCACATGGCCAACTGCAGTTTTAGTCCAAGACTCAGTGGCTTGAAAACCATGGACACGCCCAGGGTGCATACCCAAAATCCCAAGAGGAGAATGGAGAAGGGGTTGTGGTGTGGGCATCCCCGCCATGTATGAGGTGATTCCTAACTGCCTCCTGCCCCCGTCTCTCTCCAGTGAGCACACTCACCCTACAGCAAAAAAAAAAAAAAGGAAAGGAAAAATAACACCGCGACGGTTCAAGTCTGCCTAGGAATATCTCACCCTGCTAATCAAATATTCCTTAAAAAGGCAAGAAAAAAGGATAATACATGCACATGGCAAAAGGATCAGACATTACAGAAAGGCATAAAATTAAAACCTCCCTGCCCGACTATTTCTACTTTTAAAAAAATAACTTTCTTTCTTTGTTGTTGATTTTAAAGTTTTTGTCATAGGGCACATGCTCTCACTGAGAGAGACTGAGAGGGAAAGGGAGAAATCCCTGGGGGGATGGACACACTGCAATCACTTCTCTTACATTCTCCTTGGATTTTGATCATGTATGCACACCTGCCTGATGATTTTCAAGCTGCCAGGTCCAGAACTTGAACCACAGTCGGCCATGTGGGAGTTCATTAACCACCATGCCACTTGCTGGCCCCCTCTCACTACTCATTTTTTTCCATTCCCACTACTTTTTTTTTGGGGGGGAGGGGGGGTTTTTGCTATAGGGCACGTGCACTCGCCAGACAGAGAGAGACAGAAACCGAGAAATCACTCCCCCCCCAGCCCCTCAGGGGAGATGGCCACACCACAATCCCTTCTCCTCTTTTCTCTTCTCGGGATCTTGGGCATGCACATACATGCGCCTGGTGTGAGTTTAAGCCACCAGGTCCGGGACGTGAACCACAGTTGACTACATGGGAGTCCAGCGACATAGCCATTAATGCTAACTGTTGGTCCCTCCACTCCCACTACTTTTTAATAGTAATTTCCAAAGATACCAGCTTCAAGTGTTTTGTATGTTCTTATAGGAAAAAAAACTTACCATAAACACACACACACTAATGGAATCAGACTATATACACTCTTCTCAACCTTGCTTATTTTTTGCTACCTTTATTTTATAGGACCTTTATGATTCTATACAAAAATACCTCATTCTTTTTTTTTTTTTTTTTTGGAGAGGTTTTTGCTTTAGGGCGCATGTGCTCACCAGACAGACAGAGACAGAGAGATAGAAAACGAGAAATCACCCCCCAGGGGGGATAGCCACGCTGCAATCCCTTTTCCTCCATTCTCCTCTCGGGATCTTGGGCACGCACATGCGCCCGGCGTGAGTTTTAAGCCACTGGGTCCAGGACGCGAACTGCGGTCGACTATGTGGGAGTCCAGCAATATAGCCATTACGCTAACTGCTGGTCCCCTCATTCTTTTTAATAACTCTATGGTATTACAATATATGAATGTTTTACAAATGTTTAAACATTGATGGGCTTTGGGGTTTCCAATATTTTACAAAATCATATTACAGAGCCGAGAGTTCCAGCAGCTCGAGCGGTGGTAGGGTTTATCCTCTCAACTCTGCAAAGGCTCCAGGCGCTGCGTGGCCTCATCAGGCACCCAGCACGCACCCTGTCTGCAGCCAAGATGCCCAAGAGGAAGGTCAGCTCAGCTGAGGGGGTGGCCAAGGAAGAGCCCAGGAGGAGATGGGCAAGGTTGTCAGCTAAAGCTGCTCCTGCAAAAGTGGAGAGGAAGCCAAAAAAGGCAGCAGGGAAGGATAAATCTTCAGACAAAAGAGTGCAACAAAAGCGAAAAGGGGAGCAAAGGGGAAACAGGCTGAAGTGGCCAACTGAGACAGGGAAGAGAATTTACCTGCAGAAAATGGAGAAACTAAAAATGAGAAGAGTCCACCCTGTGATGAAGCAGGCGAGAAAGAAGTCAAGTCTGAGTAATGTCATATCCCATGTCTTATCAATGGTCCCTGTCTCCCTTCTTGTACAATTCAGAGGCATATTTTATCAACTATTTTGTAAATGCAAGTTTTTTAGTAGCTGTAGAAACATTTTCAAGGAGAGAATCCCACTTCATCCCTTTTAAGAGGTGAAAACATGTACTGGTTTATTTTTCAGTATACCCAGAAAATAGTGGGATATTGACTTATAGGAGGCTTGGACATTCCATAGGTGGGGGGGTGGGTAGCTTTTATATCCTAAATACAAAGCATACTAAATGGCAGTTTGTCGTCACAGTCATACATTTCATGTGTCTTGAACATTTTTAATTACTTCTATTATGTTTTTTAGTAGTATTGTTTCCTAAAGAAAACCACTCTTTGATTGTTGCTCTCCCTGTCAGAATTGTGCGCACTCTGTAACATCTTTGGTCGTGGTAGTCCAGTTTTCCTAATAATTCTGTTAATGTGCTGTGAAAGATTGGAAATTTGAAGTATGTAGTGTGTATGATACTAAATTGTGATTTGGTGGGACTTACATAACAGCTTTCAACATCTGAAGACAGTGGTTCTTGATATCCTCTTAAGGAAAATTTGCCTACAATTTTGAAGCTGGAATGTCACTGGAATAACTTTAAAAGAATCATTCAACTCTTTTAAAAATTTCTTTTTAAATTTTTGGTACGTATGTTAAGAATTGGATACAAATCAAAATGTCTGTACTGATCCTTGGCACAACCAATACATCTCAATTACAAAAAAAATCATATTACAGAGAACATACATATATACATGGTAATATTATTTCTGATTGAATTCCTAGTAATAGAATTGCGGGAACAAAGGTTCAACTCTTTTAAAAATTTCTTTTTAAATTTTTGGTACGTATGTTAAGAATTGGATACAAATCAAAATGTCTGTACTGATCCTTGGCACAACCAATACATCTCAATTACAAAAAAAATCATATTACAGAGAACATACATATATACATGGTAATATTATTTCTGATTGAATTCCTAGTAATAGAATTGCGGGAACAAAGGGTATTTTTCATTTTCAGCTTAGCTGTTCTTGCCAAAGTGTCCTCTAGAAATCTTTGCCAAGTATACTTCTACATATAATATATGAGAGTGATTACTTACCAGACCCATGCCGATATAGGATACTAAACTTAAGTTTGATCATCCGAAAGTGAAAAAATGCTTTCTTGCAGTTTTAATGAAAGAGTTGGAACACATTTTCAATTTACTGGTTATTAATATTTTCTGTGAACTGCGTGGCCAGGTTCTGTTATCCTTTTTTTTTTCTGACTTTTTGGTTTTTCGTTTTTGCTACAGTGCATGTGTACTCACCAGAGAGAGACAGAAAGTGAGAAATAATCCCCCAGGAGGGATGGCCATGCCGCAATCCCTTCTCCAGTCTCCTCTTAGGACTAGGCAGGCTGGGACCAGCAGTTAGCGTGATGGCTATGTCGCTGGACTCCCATGTAGTCGACCGCGGTTCGAGTC